TCTTCTGTTTCAAAAGGTGGGTATCGTACTTCCTCGCTACTCTTGGAGCCAGCTGTGGATGTGTACACAACCTCGGTGTAGTAGGCCTGTATGTAAGCGAACGACGCATCTGCGTGGGGTCCTGCTCTTCACGGACAACCAGCGTTCGTATTCGCTGTGTCACTCCACTCAGCTTTCCAGTACTGAATGGTTAAAAGAAGTAATTTTCCATAGAGACTGGTCTTGCGAGTTGATGATGGTCCGCGGGTAATTAAGCTGTTAATGTCAAGCAAAAAAGTTAAGTGTCGTAGCGGTAGCGCCTAAATCTCTTAAATTGCGTGTAATTACGACCGGTAAGCAATCCTATTCACAATTGTTCTTACCGTAAACAGAATACGTCGTACCATAAGTATGAAGCTTACCACTCTGTTCCATCTCAAACCTAACACTTCTCCTTTCCTGACATATTTGTTAAACTAATGGTGTGATTTAGCTAAACGAGCCCACTACGGAAAGCCCTGCCTTAGCTCTATAAAGCAGTATTTTTTGGTAGATGATAGTCAAACAGCAGTGAAGTACAGAGCAAAAGAGCGTCATTCGCTTTGACGGGGTGGACGTTTGGTTTCGCAGTGGGCTTCCCAGTGTTGGAAAATTGCTGAGGTTTTCAGAAGAGATCGATTTTGTTACGGTCTTACAAGATGTGAAAATAGTTCTTCAAAAGCTGCTGTCTGTGCCGCGTTTGCCTGAAAAACGCTTTTGACCAATTACATCTATGTATTTACAATCTGACAAATTTTAGATCTCGCAAAAGGTGAAAATAAATAAAACAAGGTGTGTAGAAAAGAGTTCATCATAAAATAAAAGATACTAATTTTGAGTTGGTGGCCCTTCATTTTTTTAAGTGTCTCCTGGCCCTTTTTGCCAAAGGGTCGCAAGGCAATGAGGTTGGAAGCACTCCGTTGCGAGTGTGGTGCTTCGAAACTCGGGGGAGTTTGTATGTATCACACGCAATGACAGATTCTGGTATTTTTTGTGCTGTCAAAAAGCACTTATCTATAGTCCTACTAGATCTTTTTCTAGATCACAGTAAGTCTTTTCAGCTTCCGCAATTAAAGCATCGATCTTGTACGTTGGTGTGCGGTATTGAGCCGACTGTAGCAAGTTAAACAGACCCAATTCGAGTACGTTCATATCGGGCGACTTAGCTGGCTGGTATTTGATAGCGATGTTGACAACATCAACATTTGTTGTGCCTGCCGTTAGAGCGATCAGACGGCAGCACATCATGCTTTTCTGCACAGCTGACACGTATTATGTAGCTGGTAGCCACAAATTATAAAATAGCAAATCTCTATTCTTAGCCTAATAATAGCCAATGATATCATTTATTTTTGTGCGGTCGCTCGTTGCGTTAGATTTGAGATGGAACAGAGTAGTAGTACGGAACAGTACAGTAAATGCTGTGCGATTAGGTGAGTTTCTTCAGGTACAGTACTGCACCACGTTTTGCACCCTTGGACCTTTGATAAACTTTCGGCTGTGATGATCCTGCATCCAAATGCACGAGTGTTTGTATGCTAAATTCTGATTTATTTGCAAATCCAAAACGGTCCATCCCCGCGAAAACGGGGTGCAGTACTGTACTTTTAAAAGGTTGGGGCTTACTCGAAAAGATATAGCTTAGTATCCCTTTCATCGATCAGTAACAATTGTAGAAGTATTGAATTAGGCAATTACTTTGTCGTACAGAAATCACATATATATTTTCTACAACCGCGCTTGCAAAGGGAGACATTTCTGCTGGTGCTTCCTGTGCGTCTGCCCTTTCTCGTTGCTTTTCTTACACGCCATGGCGGATCGTCACGAGCTCGTAAACAAAGGGTAGCCGGTTTTTCAGGTCAATCTTAAAAGATGGTCATGTGTCAATTCTGCTTAGGTCACGTAACCTATAAGGGACATATCACGAGTACATGTACATTTGTGAATTGTATTTTGCTAAAGTACTTCTCCTACGCCGCCATTAGCGAAGGAAATGCTTAAACGACCGCTGATTCATCACCATCGTAGTCAAAATAGTAGTCTGGCTCGACAGCTGCCTCCTCATTCTCCATGACTTCCTCTTTTGTCTCCGAGCTCATTTCACTTGTACACGATTCGGAATCCTGCGCAGCCGTGCCGCTCTGCTCGTTTTCATCCTCGCTCTCTTTTGAGTCAACAATATCGCCGAGGTCTGGGAGCTGCGGAGCTTGTGGCAACTGGAATCTTGTCCGCTGAGGCGATCTTGCTAATCCTGACTGGATTGCTACGTGTTGGACCACAAATTCTCGAGCCCTATTTTCAAGTGTGCTGACGAAGCGAGTCATGGCAGGATGTGGAACTTTAATCCGTGCGTTCAGGAGACGATGAAATCTCTCAAGAGAAGTGTTAGTTCGACTAGCAATGTCGCCTCATGCCGTACTCGTTCCAGTATGCCGGCGGGAACATGTCGAGCCAGGTCCTTTGGAAGTACCGCCAAAATTTACGCCATTTATTTGTAGAGTAGCTCACGTTTTTGGCGTCAAACGTTATTTCTATCTTGTTCTTGACTCAAGCGATTCCTTGAACATCGATTCTGCTAGGCTCTACAACAGAACATCAAAGCCTTTCGGCGCCATCGCTAACTTGGCCGCAACTCGTGGTACCTTGTATTCCTTCAGCTTTCAGTGGCACGCCTGCTGAAAGTGGAACAAGCAGCCGATTATACGAACTTCCGGAAGAAGTTTTGAATCGCACCAATAAGTGCGCTCTCAAAGTCACACACGACTTCTTTAGGGGTGATTTTCCGGCCAACACAATCCTCGATGCAACGAAAAAGCTTGATATAGAATTCTTTCTGCATGGAAGTAGTGAGGGTTAAGATAGCTGAAACGTATAGCTCAGTTGAAGGATCATAAAACATTTTTGTGATCAACTGCTTGTGACTAGTAGACGCACAACGAAACGTGCCATCTACAAATCATGACAGGTTTTCGAAGCGCAACAAATTGCGTAGTTCAGGGTGAGCCCATGCCATTACACGATCAACGCCAGCAGAATCTTTTTGAGCATAGATATCGTCATGCCAAGCGTACTGGAACTGGAAGTCCCCTTGCATGGACCCCTCACCTTTGACATTGGAAGGAGTTCAACAGAGAGATTCCGGATACTACGGGATTGTTTTCCGCGACATACCCCACGCGGTTTTCGACTGCGCTCTTTGCTACACCCATAACTGGAGGTCCTGGCTGCATTTACTATTTCTCCATAATGTGAAACCATACATCACCCTGCGTCATATTGGTTTCAAGTGCTAGCTGATCAACGTCCTGCAACATGGCCTCGCTAACATCTGCGCAGAGGGTAGCACCCCGCAAGCCAACTCCATCTCGTAATGCTGGACTGGAACGGCATGTATGAGGTACGAGACCCTAAAATCAAAGGATGCTGTTTCGGCCATATATAGAAACTTGCATTGCACTTTTCGCGATACGAGCTGCACCGATACGAGATCTTGACGCCCGCTATGTTGGCCCGAGTATACGCGTAGCTCTGATAGTACATTTTAGTACTACCATCCCGTACGCTCGATGCTGAAAGACTTCAAGAAGCTGTCGTTGTGGTACAGTACTGCATGGCAGCACCATTATCTGCACTCTCCAAGCAAGTCAGGCCAGAAGGTGAAGAAAGCGTGGTGGATACTGCTGCTGCGGATCTTGCCGTTGGTTATGTTCCTGGGGTAGATAGCGTCGCTTCTGTAGGAGGGCCAATGGTGGGTATTTACCCTGCAATACGACCATGCGCTGAGGCCGCGTGTGATGGCATGTTGCCGACCCCCAGCGCGAGGCTGTCAGGCGGTATTTGGGCATCGGGCTCATTTGAGTGGATCCGCTGGGACCGGGCGTTTCGTCCAGACATAGGAGAAAAATGATCTCGCTCAGGTCGTGTCGAGCGCTGAGACGACGTGTTGATGGGAGGCGGACGAGTCGGTTTAGCTCTACGCCGAGGCATTCGTATTGCTGGGTTTGCAGAAACAGAAGTAGGTGGAGGAGAAGAACAGGTTGTTGTGCCGATGCAAAATGCTTTGTGGTGAGGAACGATGCGAATGGGAAGCGCTGTGTTAGTTTCATAAGATTGAGAAATCTCCGACACGTTGGTTTCGAAACTGCATGCATTCTTCCATATGTGACCAGTTAGCATTCGTAACGTGACCAAATTGTAACTTTTGTGACCTATTTGCACATTCAGACCGTGACCAAGTGTTCGGATTGACCACTTTTCACTTCTTCGAAACTAACATGTAAAAACGAAACGAAAACGTTTATTTGGACCATGACTGTCCCCATACATGTACAGTGCAGCTAGCTATCGTGTCTTTTGATCTTTTTCTTTCTTCTACATGACATGAACCAGCTATGTTCTGTATCAAACTTACAATGTAAGGTATATACAGAACATTACTGGTTCAATTTTCCTAACACCGACTGTCATTACGTGTGGACAGCCACCTGAAATTTGACGTTCAGATCATCATAACCGGGGTCCGATTGATATCCTTTACTAGCAAACCAGGAGCATAAAGATTGCCAGCCTTCGGCAGTTTTTTTTTTCCTGAATGTGTAATAGCGTTATATCCGAAGAAATTAATGCATAGGTGCTGTATTTTATGATTTTGTAAAAGGTAAAGAGTCTACTGAACCTAACTACGAATCGTCATCTTGTGTGTACTTAAATCTATGGTTTACTTCTAAAGTCGCAATAAAAAAACTGTATTTCCAAGTAGAGTTTGCTTTGTGACCTCAGTATTTTGTTTTTCCTAAAAGATCTTGCAAAGCGCTATTGTATTTTCAAGTATTATAGACAGCCAACTTTTTTAAAGATTAGATACGAAATTTGATTGGTCAACTGATGAGGGTTAAAAAAGCAGTGATAGCTTCTGCACTAGGTGGTTAAGAATATTTAATATTATCCAGCCTAACTTACTATGCCAGAGGATTCTGTGCTATCTAGATAAGTGTAGTAACATCGAGGTGGCTCAAGTCGTCCCAAGAGATCGTCGATGGATACACCAGTTGAGCCGTTTCTTGCACCGAACTCTTCTCCTTGACCTCATAGACAAAGATGTTGGTAAACCGCACTCTTGTCACCTTCATCACAAGCAGCGGAAGAAGGTCTTGAGCTCCAATGAGGAACTTCCCTTTCACGACCAAAAACCCATTGCCATAGACAGCATCAATAGTTGCAGAGAGGTTATTGTCTCGCATAATATAGTTTTCATATCCCGAGATAATTCCATAACGCTTGCTCAGTCCTGCACCTGTAGCTGTCTCGAACGACGTGAGATCACTCTGCTGTGACCCCTCCGTGTATACCCCTGCTCTTCGACGCGAAGCATCCTTACTGCCGACCGGAGTGTCCACGTACCGGACTGCTTTTCGAACAATAACATAGACTGCAATTAACACAATCGGACTGAAGATCGAGATCACCACCGACGACACAACAGACTGCCGATCGTCCAGTACCTCGTACGAAGTCATTAGCTTCATCGGTGATAATGCAGCCAAGCCAGGATTCACTTTTAACAGTCCATTCGTCGCATCGGCTATTGCGAATTTCACAATATGTTTTTTCAAGTCAGGATAAAGTTTGGACAGCTCCAGACGGTATCGCCATCCAATCTCGAATGTAGCAAAGACGAACAGTGGATCGACACGTTCGCGTGCGAGATAACTTAGGAAACTTGCAACATTCAAGAAAATAGTCAACAGATCTGCGTGTACGAGCTCTGGTTTGTAGTAAATGGCATGTAGACCTGTGATCGAGTCGCCAAGCGAAATGCACATCTTCGAGACCGTCCAGTATCCGTTCATGTGGTTGCATATTATGACTAGTACACCTCGATACAAGAGCATGTTGGAGATCGTACTGAATGCATCTCCCACCCAGATGTGGCCCTTTCGAATACGTCGATACATGACGAAAGATAGCACACTTAGGTTAAAGATGACGTTGATGGCGTACACGCCGTGGATGGCGTGGGTCCACGCCCACGAGTCATGGAGCACTGTTCGACTGTGCCACAACCAGCTCCCGAGCTCTTCCACTGGGCTATTGGGAAGATCCCAATGCCCCATCTCAATATTTGACTGCGCTGTTGGGTCACTAAGATAGCGTCCAAATTGACGTGCTGTACGTACTGATTTTGCAGGGTCTCGTGTCCAAGGATTTGCAAGAGTTTCCAGCTTCCAGTAGTTATCACCATCGATACCTCTTAGCTCCGAATACGCAAATTCTGGTTCCGCTACGTACGGATAGTTGAACGCCACTGCGATGTGGTGAGTTATCGTCGTGGTTCGAACATCATCAATCGCTGCAACAAGAAGTAGAGTAGCAGGGCCGCTCTGGAATTGCTTGTCAACGACATAGTCTTGAACTGACAGAGACGTGGACAACAACATGACGTCCGATGTGTTACTCTTGCGTCGAACTAGATAGTACACACGAGCAGCAGTTGGGTCACCGAACGTAAGCAAGTCGAACGTGCAGTCGATCACGGGAGCTACTAGTTCCAATTCCGTCACGTATGATAAATTGTGAGACGCGTCAGTCTGTAGTCTAGAGAATATGAAGCGCAGGAACTCGTTGCTGTAGATTTCAGCGTTAAATTTCGTCACATTTAAACACCCAGTGGTCGATTGGGTCGTGGCTGTCTCGAGGTAGAGTGAGCTGCTAAGAGGACTGGTTGAGCCTTTGAGCACTTGTTGAACAAGAGGACTCGCTTCGATTGTTGAGGTGCCGGCATAGTCGAGGATCAGACTGGCTTTGAACTTTTGGATAGGCAAGTCGTGCGATGCAGTTCCGTGGAGAATAATCATTGCGGTCGAGAACGAGTTTAACGATATCTCCACATAGAGGATGGCGACAGCAAACACTGCTAGTCGATGTATTAGGGGAATAAACCGCCCGAGCGGACTGCCTTCTGGTTGCTGTAGGATTGTATCCACCGAGTTTAAAGCTCGTTGGGATCTGCTAGGCTGAAGTTTAGGCGGACCTTCCGAGAAGTCGACGAGCTCTTGGCCTGCCATTGCGCTCAAATGGTAATCGAGAGCCTGCTCGCTGTTGCTTCCTCTCTCCGCCTTTCGATAAAACTCACAAAGTGCGGTGCAGATGCATTAACTCTGTCGCGGCATAAGAGCAGAGCCAAATTGGGGGAGTCTATTCTGGCTCAAATTCAAAGTCAGCCAAAATACAGACAACGACGGTGAAACTCAACCCAGACAAGTCATTTTTAGAAAGGCCAACAAGACACAAACTCGACCCCTTTCGTGGTATCACCTGCGATTGGTCAAAATTAAACCGACCCAACAGCTTATTAAAAGTAGAAAAAACAATTTAAACAAACACCGTAAAAAAGCAAAAACATGTATTATTTTGCTCTACAACTTATTTTGTGTTTAGCCCTTTATTTTTATAGTCTTAGGAGCTGCTGAAAAAAATGTAGGCTTTGGTGACTTATATTTCGGCCTCAATTGAAACTTTAGTAGTTATTGAATACGTTACGCTCTGGGCGCCGACTCCGCGGACGCTAGGGCATTGTTGGTTAGTGTAGTGTGGGTTGCTCACCTCCAGGCATTCCGATAATACAATTGCAATCATATTGAAGGTCCATGCCAAAATAAGCTATTGCTACAAAAACTACAGCTTAAGAAATAAATAATTGACATCAATAGTAGTGTATTGGAAAATTAACTACTTAGATGTTTGGCACTGCACATTACTTTGCGTTCACGATAGCTGCTACAGTGTTTGCGTCCCAGAAACGCCGATTCATCTTCAGGAACAACACGGTTTCAAGGTGAATAGGCAGCATACGCTGGCGATGGTGGAAAAGAGTATGTTTCGCCACACTAAAAAGACGCTCCACGGTGTTTGACGTCGGCGGGATGAAAAGCACACCATCAAATATATTCTTTGCACCGCGCCGCTTTTTTCTAGTCGCCAAGACTCTGTCGGCAAAGCCCTGTGGGCGTCCGTGCCTGGTGTCCGGTGTCGTAATTGCAGGTACCGTCTCAAATGGCTGCAACATCAGCTCCTGGTCGTTCGTCAGCTCGTCCACGGCGCCTGACAGGGCTACAACGCACGCTCGCTCGAAGTCCACGTATTTGCGTCGGCAGCAAGATACTTTTCACAACGGAATGCTTCTCGATGAGCGCATCAAAGATATCGCGCACATCGAGAAGCGTTACGTTGTCGTCTTGAAGCTTCATGGTGGCCGACTGGAAGTCGCCAAGCTGGCAGTAAAAAAGTAGCTGCAGACTTGCTTGGTCGTGAAGGTGTTGGCGAGAGCCATGGTGAGATCAAAAATGATTGACGAGCGCCTCAGGTTCGCGTTTTGAGCGACCGTTGCTAACAGCCATTCGATTCTGTCTGGAGACCGAGCTCCGTATTTACGCAAAACAAAGCAGAAAAAACTAGATTTTACGAAAAAAATAAAGTACTTTGCTGTAAATACAAAATAACTAATTGGACAAAGTCATCCAATTTGTAAAAATCAATAATTAAGTGTAAACTATTGTATTGAAGCAGCAATACAATGATTATTTCGGAATGCCTGCTCACCTCCGCTGCGATACGGTGGGCTTAGATTCCTTACTCAAAGCAAGTTACATAGTATATGAATTCCGTGTTCTACACCTTTGCCAATCCAAACTGGTGGTAGTGTAAGCTCAAAACGGAGTGAAGTAACCGAAGTAACATCTAAATTTGAGAAATAATTTTACAAAATTAGTTTTTAGAGCAATGTAGATTTAGTGTAGTGCAAACTGGCAAGAACGCGAGTGACAAATCCAGCAATAGAACTACGGGCGCGCTGCGGGACTGGGGTACACACAAAGATGTAAGGGGGCGTGAAAGCTGCGTATGGGCGCCAGAACACGAGAGTGTGGGTGCACACAGTGACCTCTTAGCTTGTACAGCCTGCATAATCATCGATAGAGGGACCAAGGCGGCCAGCAACCCGATTAGACAGCGTACATCAAGGATGAGAGCTTTGGGCTGCGCTTGCAGATGTTTACCAGCCGTGGGGAATGGAAGGAGAGGGGTTGCAGCTCTGAGTTTGCGTCTCAGAAACGGCGCATCAGCGATTGACGTGCCATCAAGCGCTCGTGTTGGGGCTGCTTGCCTGGACGGTCATCGTTAAGAATAACACTTCTAACGGCGTCCGGTGCGGGGCGCTCGTGGCTATAGCCAATGCACTAATGTAATGTACGTGGTGCATGTGCAGTACTTTAAGTACTGTAGAAGACAAGATACTGTTATCATCGAACAGATAAATTCATCATTTTGCTTTACACTAAATCCGCATTGGTCTGGATTAATTTTGGGGATTTCTAATTTTTTTTAAAAATAAATTTCTAAATAAGGGACACTCCGTTTTGGTTTACACTACCACCAGTTTGGATTGGCAAAGGTGTAGTGCATTTGCTTTAAAAACCCACTGTACACAGTATTATTAGCGCTCACATGTTCTGCCTCACCAACCGCCTCTTTACCTATCGCTTGCATTTCTTGAAGTCAGCTCTGACAACATCGCAATATATTATATATCGATATTTGCAAATGTAAGCTTAAAATTACTGCTTTTCATTGGAACCAAAGAAGAAACACAAACTCCTAGCCTGCGTCGCTCGTTCTAGTTTCAGATGTACGTTGCTGACCAGCTCCTTGGATTCTATAAATTTGCGAAGCTGAAGGCAGTTCCTGTCATATCTAACAGATATGGTTAACTTACGACACTAACATTCAGAGCTCACAACCTCCCTTTACACATAATCTTACCGGTAACGCGTCTTTGTCCTGTTCAGATAACTATCGTGAAGTTTCTGGGGTACGTCGAGCGGTCGCGACTTAGCTTCCGCTCCAAAATTGCCTCGGCAACTGACACCAGAAGTCGCATATCTTCCAGATATATTTCTCCTTGACTCGGGTAGCGACCAGAATTTTCAATTATTGCCTTGCCTGCCTCAGTAACTGACAGTACGAACGAATCTAGATTGCTGTCTGGACGCTCCTCAAGAGCGCTTGCTGTATGCAGAGCCAACAGTACCACATCTCTCAAAACAATCGAAGTGGTCATGTCTGCTCACTTCGTAAGTCGAATAACAACAATATTTTCCGGTTCTTTCGTCATTTCCCACTCGATTGGCCTTGACGCCTTCCGTTTCTTTGTCTTTGATTTGGCCTTTAGCGAACCGGACACAAATTTTCCGTCTACCGAATGGTTATTCTTTACAGCCACGTCATTATCAAGTTTGTTTTGGGATTGCTCCAATCTCTCAGCGTCAGCAGGCTGCGTTGGTATTGTTTGTTCCTCTGTCTTTACTGAGTCAAGTGAAGCCACCCATTGGCGGAAGTTTTGTTGGCTCACTTTTGACTCGAACTATCTGCTGTTGGGGGCATTGGAATCGTCCTCATCCTCCGTATCGTCCTCGTTAGCCTCGAATGTTTCATGAACGATCACCGCGCTGATTGTTGCCGGCGTGGGGCTGCAAATATCGCGTTTGGAATTGTTCAATATTTCTCCAAGCTCGTTGTAGTTTTCCTTCAACTGTGCCTCGTGGACAAAGATGTGGTCCACATCTTGAGACGTCCATGGTGCCATCGCTAACGACTCTCAGAACGCGATTAAAAGTATCAAGAGCTGGTGTTATTTGTGTTCGCGAGTGCTGCAGCATGCATTTAGTAGGCAGCTCGTCGGCGCCAAATTCAGCGTCCATTAGACATGAAACTGCTGGAAAATGACCGTTTCTAATTCTTCGGCTAATTTCTAAATCGAAAAAAACATTTCTAAGTAGCTTTTAGGCTTGTTTGACTTTTTTCTAATTATTGGGATTTAAGGAAAATTAATTTAGCTTGGAGTACAGTTTATATTTTTGAGATTATCATACTTTGATTGAGCTGTTACAGTAGAAGTCGGTCTCGACAGTTGCAGTAGTGATGTGTAAGTATGGCAAGAGAAAAAGAAACAGCTATGCTTACTGGGTCACCGATGTAATTCCTACTTCGAAGTAGTATTTGTTGAAACAATACTACATGTAGTAGAATGATTTTAAGTTTTCTCAAAAGTAGCCGAAGCTATAAGCGCATTCCACGGCTTCACTTCCGCCAACAGTTTCTTTCTCATCTTCGTAGTCCGACTCAGAATCCGACTCCGAATCGACTTCGCTTTCATACTGTGTGGGCTTCTCCTTACCTGACGCACACGAAACGAAGGCTTCTCCAGTCTTGGTATCTGAATCGTTTCCTTCAGCTGTACAAGTGCGTGTTGGAGCGGACATTTTTTGCGCTTCCAGAGACCAATCTGCATGTATAAAAGTAGCTTCTAAGCAAATTTTATCAATAGTTTCGGAAAATCGATCCGTAATTCTGTCAAAAAAAAATAGTTTAAAACCTATAGTCAGAAGCATAATTTGACGAAATATTTGAAAATGCAACACAGACCTCTGTAGCTCTTCTGTCTCCGGATACTGCGCAGCGTATGAAAACAGGACGATGGCAAACTCGTGATATGATTCGAAGTCATGCTGAAGATCGCAGCTCTCCGTGATCCATCCCAGCACTTCAGTAATTGAGTCGGGGATTGTCTGTTTGTGTTCACCAACGTCATCTGTCGTCATCACCCTTTTCAGCTGATACAGAGCACGTGAAATGCAGACCAGCTCTGCGCTCCATCGGTACTTGTTTCACGTTGTTGAACATGGTCGTGTAGTAAGCTGGTAGCTCGTCGTTTCTTGAAACAGTTTTTACTATGGGTGGCAGCTTTACGCTGGTAATAACAGCGGAAGGCTTTGACTGCGTCGGAGTTCTGTCCGTAGCGACCTCTTCACAGTAAAGACGTGCTTTACTCGACTCTTCACTGCGTCTGGCTTCGTCATTATTAGGCTTCAGTTTCTCCATTCTAGGCTTAGTTGCGTTTCTCTTGCAGGCGTTCAATTGGTCCGGATTGCGAGATAATCCAGCACTCGGTCTGTATAATACATACTCGTCGTCTGTCTTTCGGAGGCATATTCGATGCAGTTTCTCGAAAGTTTGTATTGTAGCAATAAATTCAGTCTTCGAGAAGGTTGAGCACCGTCATTATCCCGTTCCACATCCGAAATCAGCGTATCTTTACCAGGGAATATACCCCCCCCGCACAATTTCCGTCACTCCTTTCATTGTCTCGTACGTGGTGGAGAAGAAATTGCCGTCGTGGGTCTAGTGCGATAGCTTCATCCTCAGACTCTGAACTTGATTCCGAATCCGAATCGGAAGAGTCCGA